ACGGGGGATAGAAGGGTAGCAGACTGCAGATAGAGTATGGGGAAGTAGGAGGAAATCCAGCTGTTCGCTCTCCCCTACTTTCCCCATATTCTCCACGCTGGTGGATGCTGGCGTTCGCTAGATCAATAACTATCCTTTCCTAGACGCTGGCCCTAACGAACGCTCGAAATGCTGGTGGTCGCTGGTGGACGCTGCCGCAAAGTATGAACACAGCCTCAGGCATCCTGTACTTTGTACTATATTTTTGTTACCTGCTCTTTCCGTTTTATCATTGAAACTGAAACAGTAAATTCATATCAGATTATGGATAGATTTAGATTCTCATAGCAAAATGAAGAAAGCACCGTGCCGTCTATGTGGGCGAAGTTCTTACGTTAAGGATATGAGGATAATTGGTACCAATGCAAAAAGTCGGCACTTTATCCTGATAGCTACACTTTCGTTGATCGGAGTTGTGGAAACGGCTCATGTTGTTGGTTTAGTGGACCATATTAGCAAGAAATATAGATGTCTTTGTCACTCTCACGTGATACAAGCGGTAAGTTTTCAGCGAGGTCTTAGCTGTTACCTCATTGCGATAAAATTTATTTTGAGGCAGGGCCAATACTTATGTGGTGAAATTACGGCAAGTGGGAAGTGCATTTCTTTCTATAACGATCCCTATGCACAAAGAAGCACTGCCTACGTCAGCACTGGAGATATTCCGCCACATCTCGTTGACATTATCAACGAGATCGGTAACGTGAGCTCTATGACATAGCACTTCCTATCATAAGTTGGGTGAAAACGCAATATTTAAGGGCGATGTTACGATCACTGCTAAAGACTTAATGACTTTTGTTAATGCGGCGTTGAAGAGATATTACGGTACTTCGGTGTGGCCTCAGCAGTATGAGCAGGTTTATAAATGATTTCACGGACTATCCTCTTGAAGTTGAAATACGTATTCTAGATGGGAATGGAGGAGGTTGATTTTAACACCGAAAATGGAGAATGTACGACATATTTTGAGTCACACATTCCAATGGAAGGAAGTTCTGCAAAAGTTGCTGAGATCAAAGAAGCGGATGAGGATGGATGGAAGACGGAAAGGAATCACGATGTGAAATATGAAGTGAGTACTGAGCTCAACTACTGACTTTAAGACTGCGTTCGTACTTTGCGGCAGCGTCCACCACTGACTAGGAAAGTATGGGTATCGATCTAGCGAACGCTAGCGTTCAGGATTGGAGGGTACGGGAAAGTAGGAGGGTGGCAGACTGCTCGTAGGTCGTAAGGTAAACGGCAAAATCGCACTTGAGCATCCGGCGCGCGGTCCCGGCACGATTACCCTGAAGATGCTGCGCGCGCTCATACGATCGCACAACCACGAAGTATGAAAGCGCTCGTATTTTGCACAATCGAATGAAAGCGCTCGTATTTTGCACAATCGAAAATCAGGCGCGCACCTGACGAAGTTTAAAGGAAGCAAAATAGATGTTTCAATTCGAAACGCTTTAAATGACTTGCACAATGCTGGCTATTATAATGTACACTTAGTTAACAAAATCACCCATTCAAGAGCGAAGTGAACCCTTTTGATCTCCAGTGTGTGTAATCACTTTTCAGATGTCAATCACTGTAAGGAATGTAGAAAGTCTCGCCATACTCAACCAACTTGATGGGGTCAATTCCAAAAGCTGGCCAAAATGCTTCACCAGAATTTCTCCACTGAGTCAACCGGAAATTATCTTAACCAACCTGTTGAAAGTTTAAGGCATAAATCAATGCGCACACCTCCTGCCACCGTTTCCCCAGATAGGGTAATTTGTCAGAATTGTTGCGTATAAAGGTGCTCTATGCTTCGCATTGCTGGAGGCGCACTGCGTTGATGAAGTGTAAGGGAGCTGTTTCCAACTGCTCTCTACAGATCTTGAAGAAGCCGTTTCGAGCGCAGTATGCTTAAATTAAGGAAGCGGGTAGACTTTAGAGGAAATGTCCCCACGTTGATGGGCGAGGTGCCTAAACATGATGAGAAGGCGCCCCTCCTTACAGGACTTTACCTCCAGTTCTACGGGAATTTAGTGGGAACTCCACATCACCAACTTTATACAAGATTCGATGCTTTTGTGAGTATAGTGTGGTGATATTCCCATGTTGAGTTCATAGTAGTCAACTTAAGATGTTACTCGCTGGTGACGATAGTTGACCATGATGCCCTAGTGCCGAAACCGCGCCGCGACCGCCGCTCACAAAGGCCGGATGCTGAAGTGCGATTTTGCCGTTTACCGTCACCCCTGCTCGTAGAGTGGGGAAGCAGGAGGTAGCAGACAGCTGGATTAGACGTCGTGAAATTGCGGCGTGCGTAACCGCACTGTACAACTGCTAAAGCACAGAATTATGCAATCTTGATGTACGGTGCGGTGCACTTTACGGTGCGGTTGCATACGCTGCAATTTCGTGATGCCTAGTTCAGCCGTCTCCCACCCGCCACTTCCCCCATACTCTACACTCCTCGGAGCTGGTGGACGTTTGATCGATATCCACAATTTTTTAGTCGCTGACGCTGACGGACGCTCGAAACGCTGTAGATGCTGATGGACGCTGCCGTTCGCTATATCAACATCTATACTTTCCTAGTCGCTGGCGCTGGCGGATGCTCGAAACGCTGGTGGCGCTGCCGCGATGTTGAACGCAACCTGAAATCCTCTCAGTCTTCTTCTGCCATTGTAAACCTTTTCAGGTTTCTGAAGATACTCTTACTGATTCGGAGTGCAGCTCAAGAGCAAAGGCACGCCATGTTGGAGAGACGAACGACGACGATAAGAAGAGATATTATATAGTCCAAGGATCACTACTCTTGGACTTGTTCCGTTTCTGCCCTAAATGCGGGCATGAATTAAATGAAACGCAACTAGAACCAGTTGGTACAGCAGCTGTGGTTCGGTACTTCTGTGAGCATTGCAGCATGTGCGAACCTGCTGTTAAAAAGTGGGCTAGCCAAGAGAAAGCCGTGAATCACTCGAGGAAGCGGAAGTGCGAAGACCACGTTGTTGCAGCAGAAAGACCACAACAGGATGTTGACGATGCTGATCAAAAAACATGTGAAGACACTTGGGACTGGACAGAGTCCTCAAAGAGCTCCTTATAGCATTGGAAGCGGAGAGTCAAGGTTGCTCTCTTCAGTCGGTTACGAACAGAATGGACCCAGAAGATGAGCATGTTCATGAGCTGTGCTTCGGTGAGATCCCTAATTTCAAATGTTTATTTAAATACGTATAAATTGCAACAATATCTTGACTGTATCATGACGTACCACTCCTCGGCATTGCATCCATGGACAGATCCCTAAAATCGTTGGAAGAATTACAGTATGAAATGAAAGTCCACAATGAACATGTTTTTCATGAAATTTTTCCTGCTTATTCAGTTCGAAAGTGACACCGGAATGGGAACCTCTCCACAACGTTAACTGTTCACCTAGGAAATCGAAGAACCTCTTTTATTGCAGGTGAGTATTTGCTCAGATTTCTTCCTGGTCCATTTTATTTTGTCAAATTTTGATTAATTTATTTAACAGCTCTGTTTCATACATACATATACCACTACGCAAAAATGTTCATGATTATACCAATTCAAAGCACCTAAGCAGCACCGGTATAATGAGGGCGAAAGAAAACGACAAATAGCGCCAAAACAGTCGGAACTGATCAAATGGGATGCCGGTGTGCAAATGGGCAAACTTAGGCGAGCAGTAACATTGTAACATTAACCTAGGAGTTGGCCGATGCACGAGTTGTCATCCTGTGTGCGGAATGACATGCAGAGGCCTGAGGAGGGTGGCAATTGCGGCCCCGGCATACCACCCGACATACATCCGCACTATGTGCCTCCAAAGGCTGGATTGTTGTTTCATTCTACTTTATAATAGAAGACGTGGAGGGGTAAGTGGTCGTCATGCATTTTGGGGTGGAGGTAGTCAAGCCAGTTTTCCTCGTCGTGATGCTTCACCCTGTATCGGACAGCGATGTAATAG